CTGTCTTAAAACAAAAAAACAGTTCCAAGTGCTATGATTGCAGGAATTAGCTTGTTTCATTTTCTCATAATCCGTATGTTTCTTGTGTGAGATAGGATACTGTACAGGTATTGTTATCCTTATGTTACAGCAGTGGAAACTGAGACTTAGGTTAATCAATTTGCTATTTATTTAGGTAGAAGTAGCAGAGCTAGGATCTAATCCTTGCTCTGCCTCCAGTTCCCAAAGTGTCACGCATGAGAAGTCCTGAGGCAGGATAGGATAGTGGGTAAGAACATGGGCTATAGAGTTAAGCAGACTTGGGTTCAAATTTTGGCTGTACTGCTTATTGGTTACATGACCTTAGACAAATTGCTTAATTTTTCTGAGCCTCAGTTTCCTCATATGTAAAATGAGGACAATACCCCACATAATAGTTTTGAGGAAAAAATAAGACAATACATTGTAAAATGTATAGCACAGTGCTTGGCACCTGGCAGGGTCTCAATTAAGGTAGCAAGCCAATAATTAAGGACATTGGTCTGAGAGGATCAGTCATTCAGAGTAGCAGTGCTGGGAGTGCTGGGCCCCTGCTATATCAATGCTAGGAGGACTCACATTTGGGTCAGGGCTTGACCTTTGTATTCCTGGGGCTACTTCTCCCCCAACAGATGAAAAGTTGGAAGCAAGTCCAGCCTCAAGTCCCCTGGCAGACTCAGGCACAGACGACTTGGCTCCTGCCCTGGAGGATTCCCTGTCCCAGGAGGTGCAGGACTCCTTCTCCTTCCTAGAGGACTCAAGCAGCTCAGAACCTGAGTGGGTGGGGGCAGAGGATGGGGAGGTGGCCCAGGCAGAATCAGCAGGAGCAGCCTTCTCCCCTGGGGAGGACGACCCTGGGATGGGCTACCTGGAGGAGCTCCTGGGAGTTGGGCCTCAGGTAAGGAGAGCCGTGCTGGGTTTGGGGGTGGCATGGAGTCAAGTGTGGACAGGGCCTTCTGGTCCTGAGCCACCACGCTGTGCCTACAGGTGGAGGAGTTCTCTGTGGAGCCGCCCCTGGATGACCTGTCTCTGGATGAGGCACAGTTTGTCTTGGCCCCCAGCTGCTGTTCCCTGGACTCCGCTGGCCCCAGGCCTGAAGTTGAGGAGGAAAATGGGGAGGAAGTTTTCCTGAGTGCCTATGATGACCTAAGTCCCCTTCTGGGACCTAAATCTCCAATCTGGGAGGGTGCAGGGAGTCTGGAGGGAGAGGCAGCAGGATGTGGAAGGCAGGCTCTGGGAGAGGCTGGGGAAGAACAGGCATGCTGGGAAGTTGGGGAGGACAAGGAGGCTGAGCCTGGTGGCAGGCTAGACATCAGGGAAGAGGCAGAGGGAAATCCAGAAACCAAGGTGGAGGCTGGAAAGGCCAGTGAGGATACAGGGGAGGCTGGGGGAAGCCAAGAGACAAAAGTCAGATTGAGAGAAGGGAGTAGGGAAGAGACAGAGGCCAAGGAAGAGAAGTCCAAAGGTCAGAAGAAGGCTGACAGTATGGAGGCTAAAAGTGTGGAGGAACCAGAAGAGCAGTATACAGATGAGGAGAAGGAAAAAGAAATTGAGAGAAAAGAGGCTGAACAAAGAAAGGAAGCCCAGGTAGAAGCTGAAAGGGACCTAGAGCAAGGGGCCCAAGAAGATCAAGTTGCTGAGGAGAAATGGGAAGTTGTACACAAACAAGAGGCCGAGGGAGTCAGAGAGGATGAGGACAAAGGACAGAGGGGGAAGGGGGAGTATGAAGCAAGAAAAGACCAAGGAGATGGTGAAGACAGCAGAAGCCCAGAAGCAGCAACTGAAGGAGGAGCAGGGGAGGTCAGCAAGGAACGGGAGAGTGGGGATGGAGAGGCTGAGGGAGACCAGAGGGCTGGAGGGGACTATTTAGAAGAGGGTACCCTCTCTGAAGGCTCAGGTGTAGAGTCCCTGGAGGTTGATTGTGCCAAAGAGGGCAATCCTCACTCTTCTGAGATGGAAGAGGCAGCCCCACAGCCACCCCAGTCAGAGGAGAAGGAGTCTGAGGGGCAGCCCAGTTCAGACGGCTGTCTATGTCCCTGTTCCCTTGGCTTGGGTGGTGTGGGCATGCGTCTAGCTTCTACTCTGGTTCAGGTCCAACAGGTCCGCTCTGTGCCTGTGGTGCCCCCCAAGCCACAGTTTGCCAAGAAGCCCAGTGCAATGTGTAGCAAGATTCATGTGGCACCTGCAAATCCAAGCCCGAGGCCTGGCCGGCTTGATGCGACTCCTGGAGAAAGGGCTTGGGGGGCCCGAGCTTCTCGATCCTCTTGGAGGAATGGGGGTAGTCTTTCTTTTGATGCTGCTGTGGCCCTAGCCCGGGACCGCCAAAGGACTGAGGCTCAGGGAGTTCGGCGAACCCAGACCTGTACCGAGGGTGGGGATTACTGCCTCATCCCCAGAAACTCCCCTTGTAGCATGATCTCTGCCCATTCTCCTCGGCCCCTTAGCTGCCTGGAGATCCCACTTGAAGGCGCAGAAGGGTCTGGATCCCGGAGTCGTCTTAGTCTGCCCCCCAGAGAACCCCAGGTTCCTGACACCCTGTTGTCCCCTCAGCGCCGATCGTATGCATTTGAAACACAGGCTAACCCTGAGAAAGGTGAGGGACTGTGATTAGGACCACAGCCCTGGGCAAAGGGGACCAGTAAGTTGTCTTGAATCTCCAGGGTTCCTGACTAGCTGTCTCTTCTGCAGTCTAAGCAGCTGTAGTGCCCAACTCTATAGGCTTTGGCCCTCCAGCTTCTCTGACTGTGGGAGGCACTGCCTTGTCTCAGACACAAAGCACTTATCTCTTAGGAGATTCCTAAGAAAGTCAACAAGATCTTGTTCCCAGGGAGTGGGTTACTGGCCAAAGGGAACATAAGGTAGGCAGAAAAGTTAAAAGAGTTTCTTAAAGTGAAGACTGGAGAAGTTCCTCCCTTCCTCTGAGCTATGAATCTCTCTTCATGAAAGCCAAAGGTAGAGACGGGGGACAGGGCCAGGTTAGGGCCTTCCATACACAAACACTTCTAGAGTTGCCCATTCCTGTTCTGCTCTTGGACCCTTAGATACCTCCTGTCCTTTTTAGATCCAGATTAAGAGAAACGTTCAGGAAGCTCTTTGAAACCCTCAGTATTTGTTGGAGGGACTGGACTCCTCTCCAGCTCCCCACCCTCTGTCTCCAGTCACCATGTGCAAGAGAGATCCTGTACAGATGTCTCTGGGCTCTCGTTTTTCCTTTAGAATAACTTCTTCCTATTTCAGGAAAGGGAAATGGTCTCACTCAGGCCCTGGGACTGCTTCTCCAGCCAGGTTGGGGCCATAGGTCCCACTCTAGTGAAGGTCAATGTCTCAGAATAAAAGCTGTATTTTTACACGTAGTGTGGAGTCTCATTACTCTTATTAAAGTCTTTGGTGATAGCTATTATATCTTCATATATTTGGCAAAACATTCTTTTTCTTCTTGTTGTTTGGGTGCTCTTCCTCAGTTGTTGTCATGGAGACTAGTGGCTAGAAACTAGAGCTAGGTTCATGGTGGTCACGAAATAAGGAAGAGAAACTTATATTTACATAATGCTCATTATGTGCCAGGAACTGGACTAAGTATCCTGTGCTCATAAAATCTGTGTCCTTGATTTTATTTAATCCACATAAGTCTGGAAGGTTGGTGCTAGTATCTCCAGTTTATAGATGAGGAAACTAAGGCTCAATTAAGTCAAAATGCTTGCCAAAGGTCTCAGAGGTAAGAAGTGGCAGAGATGGGTTTGAAACCTGGATCTGCCTCGTCCCCAAGTTTGAATTCTTCCCATTATACCACAATACTCCAAATCCATTCAGGGTAGGTCTTGATTGAGAAGAACAGGAATCAAGATTCCTGTCACAGAAAGTGTGAGCCTTTAGAAAACGAGAAGCTTTGGGGTCTTCGGGTTAGTGACTGCCGACGCGAATAACAAGGAACATACCCAGTTCTATGCATGCCCTGATAGGTCGTAATCTCTAGCAGGTAGGTAATCTTTCAAAAAGACGCCCTGAGCCAAGATGGCCTCCCAAATAGCCCTTGTTAAAGATGGCGCCTCCGTCAGACGTCCCTCCCTTCATCTCAGCTGGATTCTCTCTCTTTTTTCCTGGAATGAAAAAATGCCCTGCCAGCACTAAGATGTCAGTACAAGTTAGTCATCTCTTTCCCGTTCTTGTCTAAAGTGGCCAGGGCTTCAGTTACATACTCCAGGACACGGCTTCTTCCCGACTTCACAGAAAACCCACAAACATCAGCTCTCATCAAGATGGAGTGAGCGGAAGTGGGGCGGCTCTGAGTTTGAGTTTGTGGGCGGGCCGAGAGCGACACTTCCGCCCCTCACCAACATGGCTGCGGGCTGCAAGTGCGCATGAGCAGCTGTCTATGGAGCTACCTAGGTCGGGAGAGGGAGAACACAGTTGGAGAAAATCGGCGGCTGAGACGGCCTTGGCCGGTGAGTGTAGGACCAGGCAGAAGTCTGGAAACTGGGTGGACTGGCAAGGCAGGCAGGTTTGATTTTGTTTCCTTTTTTCTGGTTAGAGAACACTGCTGGGGAGGAAGCCTTTGTTTTGGGGGGGGGGGGTGTTGTGCTGGTTCTTTATCTTCTACCCTGCTTTGTGGGCCAAACTCCCTGCCCCCGAGCGCGAGCGTCCCAGCCCTCCTGCGCTGTCCAGCTGCGGGCCGCAGCCGCCGGCACCGGGTGCCTGAGCCCCCTAGTCCCCGATGTCCTTTCCTGCCTCCTCCGCGGAGCAGCTGGGGCGCGGGGCTAGACTGCGGGGCTGCGGGCCACGGCGCAGGCTCCCGGGCTCGCGCCTGGCGGGCGCTCAGCTCCTTAAGCGCCTTCTGGTTGGAGAGCCTGCAGGGAGACGCCTCATTCTCAGGCAAGGTCTAGGCGCCTGACTTCTTTCCGGAGTAGATTTTTTTCCCTTTGTGTCCAGACTTAGCAAGGGCTCTTACTGGGCCCTTCTGGCCTGAGCGTGCCCACCACAACGTCCCATTCCAGTTTCCGTGTCACAGATCCCTAATGCCTAGGAAATGCTTCCGGATGTCCAACTAAGATTTGAATAAGTACCCTGACCCCGTTGCTGGGTGTCCTCAGAGACTGCCCCGGCTGACAGCTGTGGCCAATAGAGATGCCTCCTGTGCCGGGCCCTCTATTTCATTGCCTTCCCCTGCAGTCAGCGCGGCAAGCTTCGCAGGGCATTTCCTCTTCAGGTTTGAAGATGGAAATGTAGGTGGTCCCAAAACACTAGTGTTACTTCCCCTTATCAACTGGGATCTCCTTGCAGCGTTACTTCCTCTGGACGGTTTCACTTTCAGTTCCTTTTTCAACATTTTCCTCGGACGCGGTCTTTCCAAGGCTTATCCACTGAAAATTTTCCTTGGATAGGAAAGGTTTGGAGGACCTTATGGGTAGAGAATTTCTAAAAATCTTGCCCCTTTTGTGTTGGGATTATCTTATTGCTTTGTACTGTGTAGCTGTTTCTTTCTGGAGGCATGTCTGCCCAGCTCTTTGTTTTTCCTGCCCTCTGGCTGGGTGTCAGGGTCCTAATGCAGAGCTTCTACCTGGATTCTACCTGCTTTGTCTTTTCTTCAGAACCCTGTTTTTTTTTTTTGTTTTTTTTTTTTTTTTTTTTTTTTTTTACCCGTTCTTGCTGAGGCTCAGTTGATTTGGAGTTGTCATAGCAACATTTTAGCAACTGTGTGGTTTTACAGGAAGGCTTGAGGAATAAAATAGAGGGTGCTTGAAGAGGATCCACTTGGGCTTTAGGGTTTCTAACAGATTATATAAATCGGAATACCCCAAAACAAGAATCCTGTCAGTAGAATGGGGCCCAAAGGCCAAGTCTAGTCTTTGTGGTCAGGGACATTCTTCCAGTGGTAGTGGGCTTGAGATTTCCTCTTCCTAGGTTTGAGAACAGAAATGTCTTGGTGGACAATATGTGGCTGAGCAACTGGAAGAAGTATCAGTGTCCATGACACGGTATTTTTTGATGGTGGGGCCAATACATGGCCCTTCCTGATTCCCATGAGGCTGCCATCATGGCAGGTCATAATAGCTTTAATAGTGATTCATTTAGAAATGTGTTGTTGGCTGGGTGCGGTGGCTCATGCCTGTAATCCCAGCACTTTGGGAGGCTGAGGCAGGCGGATCACCTGAGGTCAGGAGTTCCAGACCAACCTGGCCAACATGGTGAAACCCCATCTCTACTGAAAAATACAAAAATTAGCCGGACGTGGTGGTGGGCGTGTATAATCCCAGCTATTCAGGAGGCTGAGGCAGGAGAATCGCTTAAACCCAGGAGACGGAGGTTGTAAGCCGAGATTGTGCCACTGCACTCCAGCCTGGGCAACAGAGCAAGACTGTCTCAAAAAAAAAAAAAAAAAAAAGATAAATGTGTTGTTTCAGCCAGGTGCGGTGACTCACACCTGTAATCCCAGCACTTTGGGAGGCCGAGGTGGATAGATCACGAGGTCAGGAGTTTGAGACCAGCTGGGCTAACATGGTTTAGTAGAAACCCCGTCTCTACTAAAAATACAAATATTAGCCAGGCGTGGTGGTGTGCACCTAATCCCAGCTACTTGGGAGGCTGAGGCAGGAGAATCACTTGAACCCGGGAGACAGAGGTTGCAGTGAGCTGAGATCGCGCCACTACACTCCAGCCTGGGTGACAGAGCGAGACTCTATCTCGAAAAAAAGCGTTGTTTCTGTCTTCCAGTATAATTATCCCCTCTCTATCAGGAGTTGGAGTGATAATGGAGGGACGAGGAACACTATTTGTAGAGTTGCTTTTTCAATCACTCTAGGCCAGTCCTCAACATCAGTATGGTGGAGGCTGATTGTCCCCTGCAGATGACTGGGTTATTTTCCTGGCTGTGTTTTCATGGAACCTAAGTTCTAGAACCGGAGATACTGTTCTGTTTCCTAGACTTACTGCAAACTTCATGATTTCTACCAGGACTTAGCACTCAGGCCTGTGAATAGGAGATACAAAGACTTCCAAAAAAGGACCAGTTCCTCGGATGTGCCCCCTCACAGAGAGATGAAGGGGTGAGTGAAGAAGGGGTAGGGTCTGGGATGAAAGATGGGTGGCCTGGAAGAATGCAAAATGGCCAAGAGCACTGCCTCTGGAGTCAGGCAGACCTGGATTCAGGTTCTACTCTGTCACTTACTGTGTGATTTGGTTTCTTCATCTATAAAATGGAAGTAGTGCTATCTATCTCATGGTGTTGTTTTTAATATTAAATAAGAGTACATGTGATGTACTTAGCTTAGTGCTTATGTACATAGTAAACAGCAAACACTAGTTGTTATTCTAACCTAACTCAGCTTCTGTTGGGAATGCCAATGAGTTTGCAGCCATATGTTACTGGGCCGGTGAGCTTCTCATTGACTTCTTCCCATACTCTTCCTTTTGTCCTTTCACCACAAACAGGCAGCAGAAAACAGCTGAAACGGAAGAGGGGACAGTGCAGATTCAGGAAGGTGAGTGCTAGAGACGGAACCAAGACTAAGAACCCATCATGGCCTCCCTTCCTCCCCCACCAGACCATCTCCTGTGCATCCTCCTCCTTCAGTGACATGCACGTGGAACGGGGATAGAAAGCCAGTTAACTCACAGACTTTTCTTTTGTTCTTTTAATTCAGGTGCAGTGGCTACTGGGGAAGACCCAACCAGTGTGGCTATTGCCAGCATCCAGTCAGCTGCCACCTTCCCTGACCCCAACGTCAAGTACGTCTTCCGAACTGAGAATGGGGGCCAGGTAAGGGAGGGGGCCAGGTGGCTGCAGGTGTTATTTGGGATTGGGATTGAGGGAGGTAATTGAACATGTCTTGGGGAGACCTGGCTTGGAGGATGAGTTGAAAGAATGGACTGTTTCAGGGGAGGGGTGTGCTGATACTGGAGTAGAGACTGGTGTGAGGTTAGGTGTATGCTGAAACCTCTGTGTGGGGAGAGAAGGGAGAATGGCTCAATCCGTGTCTCTGAAGGACTTTGTTTTGGGGCCCTATCCTAGGGAAGCTTTATGAGGGGCCCTAGGATTCCCAACACTTAATCTTTTATTCTCTCTTTCCCTTGCTCTGCCTTCCTCTACACTTCTAGGTGATGTACAGGGTGATCCAGGTGTCTGAGGGGCAGCTGGATGGCCAAACTGAGGGAACTGGTGCCATCAGTGGCTACCCTGCCACTCAATCCATGACCCAGGTACAGGGTATGGGCTGGGGAGGTGACTAGAGTTCTGAGAAGTAAGATGAAGAAGGGTATTAGTAGGATGGGGGTGAAGCTAGGAACAGTGAGGCGTCTAGGGCTGCCTTGTCCCAAAGCACTAGGCTCTCCTTTCCTGGATGTTTCTCTCTCTCTCTCTCTCTCTCAGGCGGTGATCCAGGGTGCTTTCACCAGTGATGATGCAGTTGACACGGAGGGGACAGCTGCTGAGACGCACTATACTTACTTCCCCAGCACGGCAGTGGGAGATGGGGCAGGGGGTACCACATCGGGGAGTACAGCTGCTGTTGTTACTACCCAGGGCTCAGAGGCACTGCTGGGGCAGGCGACCCCTCCTGGCACTGGTGAGATACTGCATGAGGATGCTGGCTGAAAGGGCTAGAATAGGCTGTGAGACATGACTGGTAGGCAGTGAGCCTTCACTCATGACTCTTAGTGATCATTAAGATCTGGGCAGGCAGTGAGTCCGGGGCTGCTCTTCTATTAACAGGTTCTTTTTAGAGGAGGGGCCCAGGGTCTTCACCTCAGGGCTTGGTGAGGTTCCTACCCATGTCCTGACAGAACCTACCCTGCATCTTCGCAGGTCAATTCTTTGTGATGATGTCACCACAAGAAGTACTGCAGGGAGGAAGCCAGCGCTCAATTGCCCCTAGGACTCACCCTTATTCCCCGTGAGTGACACTTGTTTCTTCTCAAATTTCATAAGTGTTTTTTTTGTTTTTTCTGTTTTTTTCTGAGACAGAGTCTTGCTCTGTCACCCAGGCTGGAGTGCAGTGGCGTGATCTCAGCTCACACAACGTCTGCCTCCAGGGTTCAAGCGTTTCTCATGCCTCAGCCTCCCAAGTAGCTGGAACTACAGATGTGTACCACCACCCCTGGCTAATTTTTGTATCTGTTTTTTTTTTTTTTTTTTTTTTGAGACGGAGTCTCGCTCTGTCGCCCGGGCTGGAGTGCAGTGGCCGGATCTCAGCTCACTGCAAGCTTCACCTCCCGGATTTACGCCATTCTCCTGCCTCAGCCTCCCACGTAGCTGGGATTACAGGCGCCTGCCAACTCACCCGGCTAGGTTTTTTTTTGTGTGTGTATTTTTTAGTAGAGACGGGGTTTCACCGTGTTAGCCAGAATGGTCTCGATCTCCTGACCTCGTGATCCACCCGTCTCGGCCTCCCAAAGTGCTGGGATTACAGGCTTGAGCCACCGCGCCTGGCCTAATTTTTGTATCTTTAGTAGAGACAGGGTTTCATCATGTTGGCCAGGCTGGTCTCGAACTCCTGACCTCAATCCGCCTGCCTCGGCCTCCCAAAATGCTGGGATTACAGGTGTGAGACAACACACCCAGCTACCCATAAGTGGTCCTAGTACCTGCTAAATCTTGTATAATTCCTTAACCCCAAACTCCAATCATGTACTTTTGTCTTCTTACTCTGGCCACCCTGGGCTCTGTTGTCAGGAAGTCAGAAGCTCCCCGGACGACTCGGGATGAGAAACGCAGGGCTCAGCATAATGAAGGTAGGTATGATCCAGGTGGAGCTAGGAGCTGTCTGGTGTGATCTCAGCAGTGATGTCTGAGGGGTGGAGGGTTAGGTAATTTTACCCCGGGACTTGTGGCGAGTTTTCACTGAGTCACCTTGTCCTCCACTTTGCCCCACAGTGGAGCGCCGCCGCCGAGACAAGATCAACAACTGGATCGTGCAGCTCTCCAAGATAATCCCAGACTGCTCCATGGAGAGCACCAAGTCTGGCCAGGTCATGGAAAGACCCTGGTAGTGGGCAGGATGCCTGAATTCTGTCACCTGGTATTGTTTCCAGAAATGGTAGAAAGAGGGGCACACATGACAGTAGTCTTATCTCTCCCTGAGGTTCCTGTATCTCTGGGAGATATTATACCACCTTCCTTAGAGGAAAATGAGGTCCAAAGTAGGAACCTACTTTTGGAAAGCAAGCTGGGTATCTGAAATCCTAGTCCTGATTTTGTTGACCTTATCTTGCAGAGTAAAGGTGGGATTCTATCCAAAGCTTGTGATTATATCCAGGAGCTTCGGCAGAGTAACCACCGCTTGTCTGAAGAACTGCAGGGGCTTGACCAACTGCAGCTGGACAATGACGTGCTTCGACAACAGGTCAGACTCCTACCCCCAGTGCAGCCCTTCTCAGCTCTGCTAGCCACTGACCCAGTTTGACACCCTCTACTTTGTTCTCCATGGAGAGGGCTTCATCTTTTCCCCTTACCAGTGGATGTCTGAATACATTCAGGGGCTTGGTAGTGCCAACTTTACTACCCATTCCTTTACTGCCTCCTTCCCTTGTCAGGTGGAAGATCTTAAAAACAAGAATCTGCTGCTTCGAGCTCAGTTGCGGCACCACGGATTAGAGGTCGTCATCAAGAATGACAGCAACTAACTATGGGGATTCAGGGGCTTTGGGCCCAAGAACTGCAGATAGCCCAGGAGCAACAGCCTAATCCTGTGCCCCTTTCCTTCACTGCCCACTTCTGGCATGGGACAGGGGGAAGTTCAGAAGGTGTGTCCTTGAACTGAGGCCCTGTGATATGGCAGCCTGCAGTGGTGTGAAACACACAATGTGGAGGTGCACTGACAGCCTTGCCCACCCCCACCATGCAACCCCTGGGCCCTTGTGCTCCTCTCGCACAATGCATGTGCTGCCTCCATGCTGGATACTGGACACACTAAACTGGGGGGCTTGTCCTGTACTTGCTTAGAGTGCCCGGCAGAGGTCTGCTGACAGGTGATGCTCTGGCTTGCCCCAGGACTCTGGCACTTCCATTGGTTCTTCCTTTCCCTGGAGCTGAGGTTTAGAGGTGCACCCTGTGGCTCAGGGGAGCAAGCTTACACAAGAAGTGGGGGAAGGGTGTTTAGCAGTGGCTGGTGCCCATGAAGAGGAGATTGGCCAGCGAGAAGCTGAGGCCTATGCAGACGTCTCTGAAGCCAGAGAGAACAACAGGCAGGGGTCCACTTGGGGCCTTCCCCCTTATGGGGGTCTTTTTTTTTTTTTCTTTCCTTTTTTTTTTTTTTTTTTTTTTTTTTAAGGATAAAATTGTTCAAAGCCACAGTTGTCTGTTTTTCTTCCTTTTGTGGGGCCACAGGCTGGAAGGGAGGGGCATTGCTCTTTGACCAGTAAGGGCTGTGCTAAGTTCAGGGTGGGGTGCTGCTCCTGCACTTATTACCCGGAGACCTGGTACCTGGGCCAGACCGATCTGTCGTTTTTGGCCCACGCTAGAGAATGTTAAGGGCTTCTGCAGTAGACTGGTGCTAGAGGCGCCGTGAACAGGTGCTGCGGGGGCGGTGCGGGGGGCGGTGCGGGAGGCGGTGCCTTCGCTTCCGGATCCGGTCTCAGCTCCGGGAGCGAGTGGGAGATGCTGCAGGCTACGAGAGGGCGGGCCGGGGCCGCACTCCGGAGACTCGCAGTTGCTGCGCGCACCATGGCTGGAGGTACCTGCGGGGGATGCCTGGGACCGCGGTCCTCTTGGCCCCCTGAGTTGAGGTGTGGCAGGGAGTGGGGTGGGGGAGCGAAGGGGCGTGGTTGAGGGGTCTTGGTGCATACCCTACCAGGGAGGGGCGCTGCCAGGTGAGGGGATACCGTGGCGGCCATGACTCCTAGGCCCCTTCTCCTGAAGGCTGTCGCGCCCCTTCCTCAGCGCCCACGGTCTCGCTCCCTGAACTCCGTTCACTCCTAGCCTCCGGCCGGGCCCGACTCTTCGACGTGCGCTCTCGGGAGGAGGCGGCAGCTGGGACCATCCCAGGGGCGCTCAACATCCCGGGTATAGGGTGGAGAGGGGACGCCCAGGTGGTGGAATAGAGCCGTTCAGGAGGGTCTTTGCCAGTGGGACCTCATTTAGGATGGAATGGGGAAGGCACTGATTATGGGGGTCCTGCATTCCCGGGAGCCAGCCCTCAGCTTCCTAGGAAGGACTGATAGGAGGCGGATCCTGGCATCGGAACTGGCCCATCCAGTTTGAGAAGACAGCAGGTGGAGAGGAGAGGGGCAGACCAGCTTCTCTTGACTTCCCCAAGTCTGGACGCCTGAGGGAGCATCCCGCCCCGCCTCCTCACGGCTTGGGGAGTGGCTCGCATTCAAAAGTCGTTAGTTTCTGATTCTTGAAATTGGGGTGGGGGTAGGGGATGGCTATCATATGTTGTTTGGGGGCCCCCAGGACCCAGCCTTTCCAGGCCCAGCTTCCGAACCTGAGTGCCAAACTGCCGGCTTTCCCTTCTACCCTCTCCACTCCTCCAGTGTCCGAGTTGGAGAGTGCTCTGCAGATGGAGCCAGCTGCCTTCCAGGCTTTGTACTCTGCTGAGAAGCCAAAGCTGGAAGATGAGCATCTCATTTTCTTCTGTCAGATGGGCAAGCGGGGCCTCCAGGCCATGCAACTGGCCCGGAGTCTTGGATACACTGGGTACGGGGAGGTATGGCTGCTAGCTGGGAGGTGATGGGGACTACCTGTCATTCCTGTCCGTCTCTCACCCTTCTTTATCTCCACAGGGCTCGCAACTACGCTGGGGCCTATAGAGAATGGTTGGAGAAAGAGGGTTAGGCAGGAGGCGGCTTACTGATTGCCACCCCCTGGCCCCTTAATGGCCACCTTAACTAAGGGTGTGAAGGGGCTGACTTGGTGAGTTGGGCAACTCCTTATAGTGTTGTGTACACAAAAGCATCAAATAAAGAACATTTAATCAAAGTATTGGAAGCACTTAATGTGTCAGGTGGACTGAAAACAGTTCTAATCTTTATCTAGACCTCAATTCAGTCCTGGATCATCATTTCTCAGCATTCATCTGCTTCCCCTAGCACTCCCCACATGCAAAATTCTAGCAGTTTCCTGAGAGGCTACAATGTACAGTACTTCTAGAATAGCTGTTTTCAACCCAGAATGCACATCAGAATCAGCAAGTTTTTTTTGTTTGTTTGTTTTATTTTTTAATTCAGAATATGGAGGGTGGAGCCGGAGCATTAGTGGCTTTATGGGCCCCTGGGGTGATTCTTATATGCAGCCAGAAGCAGGTACCACTGCTTTAGAGGTCAGCAAACTATGGCCCCAACTGGCTGGCTGCTGTGAACTTTGGTTATTGTCTATGGCTGCTTTGTCTATGGATTGAGGAGGTGAAAGGGCAATCCCAGGCCTTTGGGTGAGGGAATGGATAGCACCCTTCATCCCTACTGATGTGTCATGCACAGATTACAGGCATGAGGAGCCTTTCCTGTGCCACCAAAACCGGGTTTCGGTTTTTATCAACACTGATCTCTTATACTGGATTTAACAAATTTAATTGGTTGACCAGGTGCAGTGGCTAAGGCCTGTAATCCCAGCACTTTAGGAGGCCGAGGTGGCAGATCACCTGAGGTCAGGAGTTCAAGACCAGCCTGCCCAACATGGTGAAACCCCATCTCTACCAAAAATAAAAAAAGTGTCCGGGTGTGGTAGTGCACACCTGTAGTCTCAGCTACTTGGGAGGCTGAGGCAGGAGAATTGCCTGAACCCAGGAGGTGGAGGTTGCAGTGAGCCGAGATCACGCCACTGCACTCCAGCCTGGGTGACAGAGACAGACTTGGTCTCAAAAAAACCAAAATTTAATTGGTTAAAAAGATGAAATTATGCATGCTTACTGAAACAAAATTCAGCACTACACAGTAGGTATATGACTTCCTTCTAATATAGTGTATAGTTTGATGCACAATACATTTTAAATATTTTTGTGGCAGAGTTTTTACCTCTTAAGTTTGATTTTTGGAAAATGTATTCCTTAATCTGTGGAAGAGAAGATTGAGTCAGAAATGAATCCAGGTTTCTGAGTTTTCATGCCTCTGAAGAACTTTCACACATTTCCTGCATTCCTTGCCTTTCTCTCACGTCCTTTTCTTCCCGTCTGCCTTCTCCACTATACCCAGCCCTCATTCATTCATTCATTCATTCATTCATTTTTGAGATGGAGTTTCGCTCTTGTAATCCATCCTGGGATTACAGGCATGCGCCACCATACCTAGCTAATTTTGTATTTTTAGTAGAGACGAGGTTTCACCATGTTGGTCAGGCTGGTCTTGAACTTAGGTGATCCGCCTGCCTCTGCCTCCCAAAGTACTGAGATTACAGGAGTGAGCCACTGCACCTGGCCCCTCCTACATCTTTTATCTCATAGTAGGCACTCCATACACAATGAAATCTGCTATTCATCTGGGCTCTCCAGCTTCCCTGTCACACAGCTATCCTACTTTCTCCCTGGGCTCATCTTGCCACATTACTGTATGAGTTTAGCCAGACATTGTTGAGTTTGGAGATAAAGTTGAAATATATGAAAGAGTCTAACCGAGAGTCTGGCAAAGTGTCAATTACCCTTTCCGCAAATACCGAAAACGTTTTGGTTTTCAGAAAGGTTGGGAAGTTTCTTCTGGGGCCTTATTTCCTTCTTTGTTTTGTCTTAACTCTTTTAGTCTTATGTTTTCCCCTCCCCAGCTCTTTATTATAATTTGGTTATAGCATTTTATTATTATTATTGAGGCATAATTTACTTATAATAAAATGCACAATTCTTCCTTGGCCCAGCTTGGTGGTTCATACCTGTAATCCTAGCACTTTGGGAAGCTGAGGTGGGCGG